GAAAGGGTTGCCAGTTTTTCAATGCGCCTTGGCCTGATGAACATGGGCCTATGTCGTTACAGCTGCTCATTGTGCAGACAATTCAGAGCATAACAAGGTCAGACAGAATCTAGTCCTTAATCCTGAGGCTGTTTCTTAGAACTTAGATTCCTCCTTATGACATATTTGGATGAGCCAGGTAATTCACCAGGCAAGGCATGAGTATTCCTAAGAGTGACATAATTAAGAGTATTTAAAAAAACATATTGGCCTATTTCATAAGGCATTACCCAGTAACCTTCTACAACTTTCAGTACATGTGACATGGTTTATAATGCTTGTTTGAGATGTTAATTTCATTCTGGGCTTTCAGGATGAGAGGATTTGGAAATCAAAACAAACAGCATTTACCCATAAGAAAGCAGAATTCAGTATCCACCAATGATTGCTTACTGCCAGATACTTATTTAGTTATGAAACTTCAATTACTCATTTTAAAATATGCAATAGAAACATGTCTTATAACCGTTCATCCGCAATTTCCACCTAGTTACATCCATCGCCTCTCCCACCTGATCGCTTGGAGTACTTCCATCCTTTTATTCCACTTCCTTCCTCTCCAACTAATTTCTGTCAGTGTTGCTCATTGTACTAGGTTAAGTGCTAACATACTCCACTGTGCAATGTATTTTTAAAAACCATGATCTATGGCTGCAGTTCTACATCTTTTTAGTCAATGATGTGAAACCCGTATAATTCAGTGAACCTGCGAGACTGCACAAATGAAGCAGCCCTTCTGTGTTAACGTCATTTAATTGAAACAACCAGTGAACCATCCCAGACTGAGAAGGCACTTCATGAGGTGTACCAAAATTATCACCAGCCTGTTTTTTTAAAAAACCACTCCACTGCCTATCTCAAGGAAAACTGTGCTTGGATGACGCTTCCCAACATCTTTAATTAAGGTCCCAGGGCTTAAGGGAGATACTGCGCAGCAAGATCTGATGGGCCTCAGCTTCCCCATGTCTGTTGTCTCTCAAGCTGGTAGTTCTGTGCTAGAGTCTAGAGGCACAACCTATCAAACATTGAGGCAAAAACCCTATGCACATTTACCTGGAAAAAAAGCTGCATACAGAGAGAGAGGTGTCCAACTAATGTTAAGTTCTATAGAAAATAACAAAATGGAGCTTATTCATAATTAAGCTTCATTTATTTCAATAGCCCTTCTTAATTTTTTACCCTATACTGTATCTTGAAACACCTAGCAAGGGCAGTACTTCACCCCTGAGTTCTAAGGGGTAGCCACCTGCCCTGATCCTGAGCTTTTTATGATACAAAACATGCAGAATTTGAGGAGGGGAGGGAATCACTGAGGGTTTACTTGAACGCTGTGTTATGCTTAGTCAAGAACTAAATAGTGTCTCATGCACTTGGTCTATGGAGCATGCTGTCCTTAAGGCTTTAACTAGACAATATTTTTTTTAGCATGTCATTAGAAGCTGAGCTTTCTTAAAATGTAATGGACCTCTTCGTATCCTACAATTAGCTTGTCTTCCTTGCATAGTGCGAAATACGCTGCTTTGGTTTTGAGGGCTGGTCACTAGGTGGGAAACATGTCATGTGGTTAGAAGTCTCACAGAGCTTTGAAAGAACAACATGCCTGGAGGAAGACGTCGTAATAACATAAAATACGCATTTTCCTTCATGTGCAATTTGTCTCTCTGTTATTTGGCTCTGATGGATAGAATGTGTCCTGACTTCACTGCAATCCTCAGTGCCAATTAAGCCTGTCACTTCGTGATTAAAGTTAAAGTTAAAGGTTAGCATTTTTGACACAGATAATCAGAGGAAGCTAGGGAGCTGTCCCTAGAATATGTCCACAAGGAGATCTTTAGAGTGATGGATGATACTAAATTCTGAAAATGAAGACTGAGAAAATATATAGCACAGAAGATTATTCCATAGCTAATTAAAAGAGATATCTTAATTTTTCCACTCCATAGCATCCCCCCCATAGGAACACTGTCCATTGAATTGAAGTAAAATGCACTGTCTAGTGAAATATCATGAACTGAAATGTTTTGATATTTTACTGTAATTTAGTAATCCAGAGTACTATGAAAATAAGAACAACAACAATAATATAACATATGAATTACCTCCCACATGAGGCTAGGTTGACATGACACCCCTCTTTGCTCTCCTGCTGGCAGGTGAAAACCTTCCTGTTTAAACTGGTTTTTTGATCTCTGGATGCCCTGGAACGATTAGAGTTTTCAGTGGAGGATGCTGCATATTCCATTTTTTATCATGTATTTTAAAAATTTTTTAAAGTACTTACGTTTTTAATATTGTTATATGTTGAACTGTGTTTTAATATTCATATTCTCATTTATTGTATGTATACTTTTAAAGCTATTTTACACCACCTTGAGTCCCTTCATCAGGAGAAAGGTGGGATATAAAGAAAGAAAACAAACACACAGTTACAATTCTAGGTCGCAACAAGTCCCATTAAATTCCAGAAAAATTTAATTTGTTTCAAGGAGAAATTTATAGGATTCCACTGCAATTTGCTTATGCAAATATGACAAAAACATTAAAAAAGGGTAAACTGTGTGATAGTCCTGCTGAATTTTTATCACCACCTGATAGATATATTTATATTAGTTGGTTTGACAAATGGACAGTCAGCAAGAAAACATCAGCTACTCAGTTTACATACGGAGATGATGGGGCTTATGCTGTGGCAGATGGGACAAACAAGGAGAGAGTACATGGGGTTGATGAAGTTTTGGGGAGCAAATTTAATTAAATATAAAGGGTCAATGAAATGGAAGGTGAAGGAATGAAATATTGCATGACAAAATGGGCACAAAATATTGGCTATAATATTGATGTAGAGTACAGTAGTAGACATAAACTTGGCAGAATAAGAAAGTATAGATAAACTGGCCAAATGACGGAAATGTAAATTCTAAGTGTACTTTGTGGGGAAAGATTATATGATAAATGGGCACAAAATATCGGTTATAACATTGATTTAGAGCAGTGGACACAAACTTGACAAAATAATATTAAACTTACAAAATTAGTAAATTTTGATAAAAAGAAAGAGAAGGTCCAAGGAAATGGAAGGTTAGTAACTACCGTATAGATATTCAGGAAAATCGTTATATTGTTTTTCTCTTTGTATGAGTTCATTTTTTAATATAACTGTATAAGCAGATGTAAGAATACTCTTTCACTCTCTGGAATTTTACCCTTTCTCACCCTTCCCCCCTTTTTACCCTGCCCCCTATCTGTACCTCAACCCCTATCCCTATGAAAAATTAATAAAAACTTGGGGGGGGGGAAGCAACTCTGTTTACATGACATTTTCTGCTTGGCTGTCTGAAGATAATTCTTGCTTGCCTTAGATATCCAGAAAAAGACTTTAGAGGTAAAAAGGAGTGGTGGTGGAAAAGAAAAGAAAACTTAGGTGGATGTATTTTCATTTGAAGGATACCCAATGTGGTGTAGTGCAGTGGTCCCCAACCTTTTCTGAACGGCAGACTGGTTGGGGGGTGCGTGGTCTGTGGGGGGCATCCCCTGCGCTCACGGGTGGGGAGGGTGTGCTTGCGCGCATGTGCAGAGGGGCAGAGCGTGCTTGTGGAAGGGAGGGTTACGCTTGCGTGCTTGCGTGTAGGGGCAGGGCATGTTCGTGAAGGGGCACCCTTGCGAGGAAGGGCGGGGTGTGCTCACGCACATGTGTGGAGGGGTGAGGCACCCATGCGTGCAGGTCGCAGGCTATGCATGTGGGTGGGGGCAGGGGCGGGAGATCTGTCTCCACAGCCCGGTCCTGCCATGGCCGTTGACTGGGGGTTGGGGACCCCTAGTGTAGTGGATAGAGAGGCAGATTAGGACTCTGGAGACCATGGCTTGAATCCCTTCTCAGCTATGGAAATTCGCTGAGGAAGAGGAACTGATAAAACTACTACTTCAAAAGTCCTGTTAGGGTCACTGTAAGTCGGTTCTGACTTAAGAGCGTGGAACAACAACATTTTCATTTGACATTCTTGGTAGGGATGCTCAAGGATTCTGCTTTGAGCAAGCTGATTCAAATAAATAAATAGATTTGTACCTCCTGGACTAATGTACCATTTGAAACAGTGTAATCCTTCATGTTTTGCTCTCTCCAAAGTCTGATTTTTTCCCCAACATTTTCATTTTCCGAAAAAACCCCACAATTAATAATAAAATGTATGCCTTAGCTTGAAATACGTACAAAAACATTTATTGAAAGTTAAACATGAACAACAATGCATATTTTGGTGGTAAATTGAGTACTAAAACACAAATTTTAATGAGGGAATCTCAAAATCAATACCAGTTTCAGCTTTCCTTTAAAAAATGAGGAGTACAGAAATGGGAAAGGGGAGATTTCGAAATCCATTTATGGAAAACTGTTGTTGAAGAGAAATAAGATTGTTTCGTACCCACACACACTTCTGTTACATAGACTACTGATGCAATTCCAGCTTCAGAAATTTTTTTGAGTTGCTACATGAGGGAGGGGGATGTTACAACGATTACTCAGAAAACAGGGGGACATGACAAGCCATTGATAATGATATGCGGTTGGTCCATTAAAAGTGATTGAACAAAAAACAGCAATTGCAAACAGGTAGCTTAAGAGTACCGAAATGACAAAAAGAGAAGCTTTTCTGGAAAGAAAACAATATCCAGCAATTATCCATCAAGCCCTGCTAATATGCTTTCACTGTCACTCCTTGGAGCAGTCGAGAAAATAATTTCCGTTTCTAAAGACTGGAGAAGAAGCAGAGGGCTTTTTATCTTACTATTTTCTGAGGAAGGTGAAACTGAGTTTCCAGATTCCCTGAATACAGTTTCACAATGGAAAGCTTTTGCAGGTTATCCAACATTTACCAAAAATGCTGGCACAATAGGATTTTGCAGATTAGCACTCTGTTACATAAATACGTTTTTGTACCTGGGTTTTCATCATCTTGTATATTCAGTTCTAGGTAAGATCCGGAGTGCAGTCGGAAGTGCCCAGCTGCTTATGTCTCAAAAGTTCCAGCAATTCTATTGGCTATGTCAGCAGAATCTGGTAAGTCAGCATTCTTAATTGTTATCCAGTAGATGTCTAGCTACTTATCGGCTTTTCAATGACAAACATGACCTGTCATTATCTCCTTGGTAGTCAGGAAAAGGCAAGCAATTTGATAACTGTGAACTAGAATAAGAGTGTCTATACCTGCTGAGCTGGCTGTTATTTGATACAGGATAGAGCTTGCTGTATTTCCCTATTATTTGGATGCAGGGGTGGGAAGAAAACAGCACAGAATTTAAAGAAGATTTGTTGGGCAACAGTTCAAGTGTTGGTCTTCGATGCGGAAACTCAAATTTAGCTGTGAAGCTTTCTGATCCATTTGGGGCAATTTGCTATGTCCAAGCATGTTTATTTACTTATTTATTTATTTGCTTATTTATCTATTTTAAACTTAACTATGGTCCACCTTATGAGCTTAACATGAAAGCGAGTGAGATGAGAATGGGACAAAAATGCTACTGAAATAATGGAATGATATTTATGATTTATGTAATGTTTGCCTATACATTCTGTTGGGTTGCTAAAAGTCTCCATTAAAGGGGGATAGTCTTAAGAGGCCACCTGAACACTTCTGTGTGACCAGAGGTGGGCAACATGGAACACCACCTCCACCTCCATCTCTGAGGCCTGCAGCAACTCCAAGGCCATAAACATGTTTATTTAAAAAATATCAGCCCAAGTTCCTTTGGGCCCCTTAGGAGGTAATGAGACAAATATCCCATGTTTCGAGGGGCCCTTGGCACTCTGAGCCCCCACCCCCAATGCCTTTAATTTAAGAGAGAGAGAGAGAGAGAGATTTGGCCACTAAAGGGCTCACAGGGCATTTTCAATTAGAAAAAACATTATGTAAGAAAAAAAACTTTGAAGGAACTATAGGAGCCGTAAGGTTCAGAGATGGGCTATGCCTGGACCTCAGAAAGTTGCCTTCCACTGAGACAGATAACGAAGATACACGCCCACACACCATTCTACCTACAATAAAAGAAAGAATTCTTCAGCCACCATAAGACAGCAAAGTGATGGAGAAAGATATGATTCCTCAATACATGCAGTAAATCACATCTTGTGAGGAAAATCCTTCAGTCTAGGAGGAAATTTGCATAAATCCTACCTTGAAGAATCATGGTTCATGCAACAAGGTCTGTTCCACCTACCCGCATAGAAGGGACACTGCTGGCAGAGGCCTGGCTTCCCTCTCCCCATTGCACCCTCCTCTGTGTGCTGAGAACATCTGGAGCAGATCTGCAGGGACATGTGGGGAGAAGCTAAAGGAAAAGTCCTGTTGTATAAATAAACATTTGCTCACATAATTTTGTATGGAGCCCTTGATACTCTAAAATACCCAGGAGCATCTTATAAAGGTTATTCAGTGACTCTTGGCAATTAAATAAGCAGCAGCATTCAGCTATGCACACCAAACATCACATTGCCTTCTTCTTTTTAGAACAATGCAGGATACAAATCTAATAAATATGTAAATTCTATATGAGAGTATATAATTCTAGGCAAAGATTTCTGTTTCAAGAGTTAATTGTCTTTTTCCCCCCTCCCTCAGAATGCAAAAACCTCTTAGTCTTGATTTTGCTACGATTCTCAAACTTCTGGCTACATTTTTTGAATCAGGAAACTTAATATCCGAACTCCCTTGAGAGCACAGAACCAATTATATTGCTTTCTAGATCAGGGCTAGTGGGTTTACTCCTATGGCATACTTATTTACCTTCACCTTCCATATGGACAATGGCAATCATGAGCAGATGGCTTCTGTTCCAGATGTTAAACAAGGGTATAGCAGCATCAGCCCAAATGGAATAGCACAGTAACCACCACACATGATCCTTGCAATAGCCAATACTTCTTTCTTGAGGTAACCCCCCCCTCCTCATTCCTGTTTTAGTGCTGAATTAGCTAGAAAAGAAGCTTCTTTCCAGATACAGTGACAGAGATAGGACAACATTTCCTGATACATTTCTTTTCCCTATTGGAATGAGATAAATAAATAAATGTTTGAGTTGGCGTTTGAGGATGTGACCTCTAAATCTGTCTTATTCAAAATCAATCACTCTGGAATAATTACAGCTTAACCTTTACCAGCATGACAAGGCACTGATTCTGTGTGTGCCGATTGGAGACTTGTTATCCAATAAAGTTAAATCAACTGGTGTTTATATATATAGCCACCACCAGTTCTAAACCATGGAAATCATCTTTATATTTTTATATATATGAAATGCAACAGGACATGCTCCTGAGTTGCTGTTACATACCCATTTCTGTTGAGCTGAACCAATTTTGTTAATGTCACGGGGAGCCTTTTTTGCACTCCACACCTTTTTAGTCTTGAACTAGTTCACACTTGCAGGTCCTTGCAGGCCATTAGTGCCGTGGAAAAGCTCACCAAGCCCAGACAACAGATAGGGTTTGCATCCAGTGTTGACCCAGTCATAGTGGAAAATAGGGATATGAAAGAATCCTTTAAAATGTCTTCATTCTTAGTGATTTTACTAGCCCCACCATGCCAGGAGATCTCATGAGATGTCCTTCTGCACCAGTGAGATTTCTTGGCTTCTGGCAAAAACAAACCCTGGTCTTGTTTTCCCCTCATGGCGCAGTGGTTAAACAGCTGTACTGCAGCCAAAACTGTGCTCACGACCCGGGGTTCAATCCCAGGTAGCTGGGTCAAGGTTGACTCAGCCTTCCATCCTTCTGAGGTTGGTAAAATGAGTACCCAGCTTGCTTGCGGGGAGGTAATGTGTGGCCTGCAAAATTAATTGGTAACCCACCTCCAGATAATGCTTTAAGCACTATGGGGCAGTATATAAGCAGAACACTGCTTTTTTAAAAAATCTCCCCATCTTTTTTTTGTTTTTTGCATTTTCTTTTGTGTATGAAACTGCTGGATTCTGCACAGCTTAATGCTATTTCTGGTGTATCTTGTGAAGGAAAGATGCCACTTTGAACAAGACTTGTAATAACTCTGCACAGACCAGAATTTCTCCAAGAAAAAAAAGTGACATGTCATGAAATACCATTTTAATCCCCCATTCAGAGAAATGACTATGAGATATCAAGAGATACCATGGTTTGTTTGGTTTTTAAACACTCCTTCAGAAAAACATTGCTGTGAGAGATTTTTGTTGTTGTCACTTTCTCACAGAGTAAAAGTAAGTAGCTGCAGACTTCTAAATTGTGTGTGTGTGTGAGAGAGAGGAGTGGTGGTGGTAATGTAACCACTTTGTAGTGAAACCTAATGAGTAAATACCACCACCACCAGTTCTAAACCATGGAAATCATGAAAAAGAGATGAGAATCCACTCCAAAATCTAGGCTGACATCACTGCACTACCCAAGATTTCAGGTCCAAAACCTGAGACCCAGTGAATGAGTTGGAAAACCTGAATCTTGGGGCCAAAACCTGTCCCTCAATAAGCCTGCTTACATGCAACACGCCATTAGGTCCCCATAATTCCCCTTTTCTCTCAGGCATATGTTTTGGCATGCGTGGGGGTCAAAGCAAGGAGAAGATCAGTGCCGTATCCAGAGACCAAACTTACCCAAGCTGAGACTCTTTCTGCCAAATGAAACCACCAGGGAAACATTCGGGACACATTCGGCATGTTTTCCTCTTCTCCGTCAAATATCTTTTCTAAAGTTAAAATAGAAGAGTTTCTCTTCTTAATACACACACACACACACGCACACGCACACGCACACGCACACACACGCACACACACACACACACACACACACACACGGATGCACACACACACAGACACATATCTTTATATAGAGATATATCCATCCTTATATCCCCTCCATGAAAACTTCTGGAAAAAGCATCTGTTTTTATAGCTACCCAGCAAATACTACAATAATGGTGTCTCATGGCTACACATTTCTTCATTCTCTGTACAACACACTGAAATATATTTAAAGAACTTAATGATGATCAAAGTATCAATATAAACAAAGACACATATCTTTATATAGAGATATATCCATCCTTATATCCCCTCCATGAAAACTTCTGGAAAAAGCATCTGTTTTTATAGCTACCCAGCAAATACTACAATAATGGTGTCTCATGGCTACACATTTCTTCATTCTCTGTACAACACACTGAAATATATTTAAAGAACTTAATGATGATCAAAGTATCAATATAAACAAAGCATTTAAAGTACATCCTGATTCTTAATTGAGGTTAGGGAGGTTTGTAAAACAGAAGCATGTAAAATTGTAAAGCGAATGGATACATCCTTACTATCAGTTCATTGGTGAGGTGGCCAATTCCTGAAGCCACCTCTCTCTGAATCACCACCGTCCAGATAAGCTTGGATAAATGTTTTAAAAATCTGTTGTTCCTCAACTCACAAGCATAACTGTGAGGCTTTTAAGGAATTGGGCGGGATCTGTTTCATCTGGGAGGTTGTTTAGCAGCCCTGACATTTAAGGAATGTGTGTGTGTGTATGTGCTCACACATGCATACACACAGGTGTCAATGTAATGGGGCATTTTCCTCTCTTTCGCCTCAGGCCGTGATATATCTCAGGTCAGCGATGCATCTGAGGTCATGTGGCAAAAGAGAGGCTCTCTAGTACTAGCATCCCAGCTATGAAATGCTTCCCCTGAGCAGACTTGTCCATTGTCTACTTTGAGATTTTCTTTTGGTGTGAGACATTTAAAACAACAATAGCAATTTTATTGGTTTTACTCTCTCTGGTATTGGTTTCCTATTGCATATGTGTCTGGTTTTATCATGTGCCTTTAACATAGCCATTTTTAAATGGGTTAGTATACAATTTGTACCTCGCTGGATAGCTCAGTGGGTTGGGCATCTGACAGCAGAGCCACAGGTTGGGAAGTTCGATTCCCCGCTGTGCCTCCTGTGAGTAACACCAGCCTGGGTGGCCTTGGACAAGCTGTACAGTCCCAGGGCTTTCCCCAGAAGAAGGGAAGGGTAAAACACGCCCGAGTATTTTCTACCTGGAAAACCCTGAAAAGGGCCGCCATAAGTCAGAATTGACATATTTATACATAAAATATTCTTATTTGATTGATGCCCATAGGCTAGGATACAAATTAATTTCAAAAGTTAATGCACCACTTGTATGATCAGCTACATATATAAAAACACAGGCAGGCGTTTGGTCGTGATGTATGTGCTTCTAAAGCATTATTCACCACATTGTGCCCATGCAGTTTTTCTCATGCAGCTGCCTTCCCGAGATGGAGGTTGCTAGCCTCCTAAACTGTAATGAGATCACGCAGCTCAGCACAATGCAGGTTTAGGCCAATACAGGTGTGCAAATATTATTTGTGCTCTTTTTCTCGGCAAATTTCTTCTCTAAACACAATCAGTATGCTTGGAATCACATTTCTCTGTCATTGTTTGCTTTCTTTTTAAAGTTACATACATTTCTCAGTAAAAGAAAATTTAAGGATGCCTCTGGATGAAGTATCTCTATCTTATTATGGTTTGGGGAGGGGTGTAAATGTTATTAGTGCACACTGCAGAGCAGAGCACACTATTGATTTATACACACAATTCAGCAGCAGCAGGAGGCAGCCCTCTTGTGGCCTAGAGAATGTAAAGCAAGCTCCATTCAGTGAAGGATCACTACTGAGAAACATGTAGTACATGTAGTACACCAAATTATTGTTTCTGAAAGAAGTGTAGTAGCCATAGGTTAAGATAAAACAATGAGCCACAAAGGACAGTCTCTAAAAAAGACCTTCTTCTCTCTCCCTCTCTCATTTTTAAAACACAAACTTGGAAATATTGCAGAATGTCTGGATATCTGAGGGACAAGAAGGCATCAAAAATTCACTGAATTCTCCCACCCTGACAAGTGGTGATAGATCTATTAAACGCTGCCATGAGTGAAGATGAAACTGAATGACCTTTGACAGGCAGACTGTCTGACAAGTGGTGATAGATCTATTAACCGCTGCCATGAGTGAAGATGAAACTGAATGACCATTTTTATAGAAGGGTATACAAAAGTGTTGTGCTTCTTTAGTGTTACCTCTTTCGTGTAACTTTTCTTTAATCCAATGTCTGCCAAATCTCCTAAGATTTTTTTTTCATCCAATAGCATCACAACTGGGCTGTCAGCAGCCAATCAGAACATGCAGAGATAGTAGGAGTTTTGAATCTATAAAAGGGCCTGGAGCAGTTGCAATCCATTGAGGAGTGCTCTTTCTTTGCTTCACTCATTCATTATGGGTGTGTGAGCTCCTGATGCCCTCCATCTTGGATTGCGCTGCCTCTGTGCCTATCTCTGTGCCTCCATCTTGCTCCCCCCCCCCTTTTTAACTGATTTTTCAGGGGAATTTTCTTTCATATTTCTTCAGATAATTTTTGCTAACTGTGCCAGTGTGTTTCCTTGGGACAACTTTTTGGGGTTTTTCTCTCTCTGGGTTTCTTTGGAGATGTTTCGCCCCCTTTTTTGTTGTTGTTCTCTTCTCCTCCCCCCCCTTTCCTTTCCTTGGATTATTTCTGCTGTCTGGGCCAATCAAAAGAGGCATGTGCGTGTGCGTGTGCACACGCATACGCATGCACACAAAAATGGAAAAAAAAGTTAGCCTTACAAAACCAAAGTGGCAACTGGAGATCGGCAATCAAGTAGTAAGACTAGCAAAACTGTGTAATCATTCCAACCATTTCTCAGAAATCACGCAGAACATCATGCAGTAGAGACTGCCCATGTGATTATAGACACCACTGGTTATGGTCAGCATGGAAGTAAATCCTAAATTGTTTTTCAGTAACTGCTACACAGTTCCTGAGTAGGATCAAGGCTGGGCTTTTTTTAAAAAAGCAAGTACCTACCATTGTGTTCTATGAGATGTTAGAAAACGAAGATATACTGGTGGCCTTAAGGCACGCATGTTTCCACAATCCAGAATTTTTTTTTTAAAGCTTGCCATAGAGAGTGGGCTTTGCAGTCCATCGCAGGCATAGTTCCATGATATGATCTTATCAGCTCTGGAGCCATCTGTGTTCTGATTCTTCAATTTCTATATAGCATCAACCATGGTTATATTCATTCACCTTGTAGTTATAGTATATACATATCCGTACATATATGTATTTATATTTATACATAAAATATTCTTATTTGATTGATGCCCATAGGCTAGGATACAAATTAATTTCAAAAGTTAATGCACCACTTGTATGATCAGCTACATATATAAAAACACAGGCAGGCATTTGGTCGTGATGTATGTGCTTCTAAAGCATTATTCACCACATTGTGCCCATGCAGTTTTTCTCATGCAGCTGCCTTCCCGAGATGGAGGTTGCTAGCCTCCTAAACTGTAATGAGATCACGCAGCTCAGCACAATGCAGGTTTAGGCCAATACAGGTGTGCAAATATTATTTGTGCTCTTTTTCTCGGCAAATTTCTTCTCTAAACACAATCAGTATGCTTGGAATCACATTTCTCTGTCATTGTTTGCTTTCTTTTTAAAGTTACATACATTTCTCAGTAAAAGAAAATTTAAGGATGCCTCTGGATGAAGTATCTCTATCTTATTATGGTTTGGGGAGGGGTGTAAATGTTATTAGTGCACACTGCAGAGCAGAGCACACTATTGATTTATACACACAATTCAGCAGCAGCAGGAGGCAGCCCTCTTGTGGCCTAGAGAATGTAAAGCAAGCTCCATTCAGTGAAGGATCACTACTGAGAAACATGTAGTACATGTAGTACACCAAATTATTGTTTCTGAAAGAAGTGTAGTAGCCATAGGTTAAGATAAAACAATGAGCCACAAAGGACAGTCTCTAAAAAAGACCTTCTTCTCTCTCCCTCTCTCATTTTTAAAACACAAACTTGGAGATATTGCAGAATGTCTGGATATCTGAGGGACAAGAAGGCATCAAAAATTCACTGAATTCTCACCTTTGACAGGCAGACTGTCTGACAAGTGGTGATAGATCTATTAACCGCTGCCATGAGTGAAGATGAAACTGAATGATGCTGTCAATAGAAGTGCACTAACTTCCATGAGCTCGAGGTCTGGTGTACCATATATGCTTTTGAAACAGCCTGCAGGAAGATATAAAGCTAATACATTTTAATTTATTGGTAGAAGAGGTAGATACAACTTAGTATCCCTCTGAAAACCATCTTGTTACACTATTTCTTTTGTGTTATACAGGAAGCACCTGTTTCCCATCCAAAGGGTCGTCTTTTACCAAATCTATGTTACACTACAGCTCTCCAATGAACAACATTTTCTTTCTTATGTATATGCCAGGATCCCAGCGCTATGCCACGGCCCACTTCACAGGATCTAGCAGGGTTCTGGGACTTGTTACAGCTTTCGATTGAAGATGTCAGTATGAAGTTCGATGAACTGCACCAGCTGAAACTGAATGAATGGAAAATAATAGAATCACCTGAAAGGAAGGTAAGCAGAATGTGGGCAGAACATGTCTTTTTCATTTGGCATTGACAGCTTTCTTGTGTTACATCCCGTTGATTCTGTAAGCCTGCAATTATTTCCTTTTGAGCTAGTTATTGGACAACATGCTCTAGAAATAAAGGGCTCTCCTTGTAAAGTGAAAAACACAGTACAGTACAGGTCACTCCTGCCTGCCCACTCTTGATCAATTGAAAATCCCTAGTACTGACAGCCATTTATTAAAACTAAAAGTTGCTCTGAGTCTTTGATTCAACAAAATAAATTTTAAGGTCGCTGCCTCTGTGCCTATCTCTGTGCCTCCATCTTGCTCCCCCACCCCTTTTTAACTGATTTTTCAGGGGAATTTTCTTTCATATTTCTTCAGATAATTTTTGCTAACTGTGCCAGTGTGTTTCCTTGGGACAACTTTTTGGGGTTTTTCTCTCTCTGGGTTTCTTTGGAGATGTTTCGCCCCCTTTTTTGTTGTTGTTCTCTTCTCCTCCCCCCCCTTTCCTTTCCTTGGATTATTTCTGCTGTCTGGGCCAATCAAAAGAGGCATGTGCGTGTGCGTGTGCACACGCATACGCATGCACACAAAAATGGAAAAAAAAGTTAGCCTTACAAAACCAAAGTGGCAACTGGAGATCGGCAATCAAGTAGTAAGACTAGCAAAACTGTGTAATCATTCCAACCATTTCTCAGAAATCACGCAGAACATCATGCAGTAGAGACTGCCCATGTGATTATAGACACCACTGGTTATGGTCAGCATGGAAGTAAATCCTAAATTGTTTTTCAGTAACTGCTACACAGTTCCTGAGTAGGATCAAGGCTGGGCTTTTTTTAAAAAAGCAAGTACCTACCATTGTGTTCTATGAGATGTTAGAAAACGAAGATATACTGGTGGCCTTAAGGCACGATGTTAGAAAGATATTCTGGTGACCTTAAGGCACGCATGTTTCCACAATCCAGAATTTTTTTTTTAAAGCTTGCCATAGAGAGTGGGCTTTGCAGTCCATCGCAGGCATAGTTCCATGATATGATCTTATCAGCTCTGGAGCCATCTGTGTTCTGATTCTTCAATTTCTATATAGCATCAACCATGGTTATATTCATTCACCTTGTAGTTATAGTATATACATATCCGTACATATATGTATTTATATTTATACATAAAATATTCTTATTTGATTGATGCCCATAGGCTAGGATACAAATTAATTTCAAAAGTTAATGCACCACTTGTATGATCAGCTACATATATAAAAACACAGGCAGGCATTTGGTCGTGATGTATGTGCTTCTAAAGCATTATTCACCACATTGTGCCCATGCAGTTTTTCTCATGCAGCTGCCTTCCCGAGATGGAGGTTGCTAGCCTCCTAAACTGTAATGAGATCACGCAGCTCAGCACAATGCAGGTTTAGGCCAATACAGGTGTGCAAATATTATTTGTGCTCTTTTTCTCGGCAAATTTCTTCTCTAAACACAATCAGTATGCTTGGAATCACATTTCTCTGTCATTGTTTGCTTTCTTTTTAAAGTTACATACATTTCTCAGTAAAAGAAAATTTAAGGATGCCTCTGGATGAAGTATCTCTATCTTATTATGGTTTGGGGAGGGGTGTAAATGTTATTAGTGCACACTGCAGAGCAGAGCACACTATTGATTTATACACACAATTCAGCAGCAGCAGGAGGCAGCCCTCTTGTGGCCTAGAGAATGTAAAGCAAGCTCCATTCAGTGAAGGATCACTACTGAGAAACATGTAGTACATGTAGTACACCAAATTATTGTTTCTGAAAGAAGTGTAGTAGCCATAGGTTAAGATAAAACAATGAGCCACAAAGGACAGTCTCTAAAAAAGACCTTCTTCTCTCTCCCTCTCTCATTTTTAAAACACAAACTTGGAGATATTGCAGAATGTCTGGATATCTGAGGGACAAGAAGGCATCAAAAATTCACTGAATTCTCACCTTTGACAGGCAGACTGTCTGACAAGTGGTGATAGATCTATTAACCGCTGCCATGAGTGAAGATGAAACTGAATGATGCTGTCAATAGAAGTGCACTATCTATTGGTAGAAGAGGTAGATACAACTTAGTATCCCTCTGAAAACCATCTTGTTACACTATTTCTTTTATGTTATACAGGAAGCACCTGTTTCCCATCCAAAGGGTCATCTTTTACCAAATCTATGTTATACTACAGCTTTCCAATGAACAACATTTTCTTTCTTATGTATATGCCAGGATCCCAGCGCTATGCCACGGCCCACTTCACAGGATCTAGCAGGGTTCTGGGACTTGTTACAGCTTTCGATTGAAGATGTCAGTATGAAGTTCGATGAACTGCACCAGCTGAAACTGAATGAATGGAAAATAATAGAATCACCTGAAAGGAAGGTACGCAGACTGTGGGAAGAAAATCTAGCTTTCTTGTGTTACATCCCGTTGATTCTGTAAGCCTGCAATTATTTCCTTTTGAGCTAGTTATTGGACAACATGCTCTAGAAATAAAGGGCTCTCCTTGTAAAGTGAAAAACACAGTACAGTACAGGTCACTCCTGCCTGCCCACTCTTGATCAATTGAAAATCCCTAGTACTGACAGCCATTTATTAAAACTAAAAGTTGCTCTTTGATTCAACAAAATAAATTTTAAGGTCAAGGCAGGTTCTTCCAGATGTTGTACTACAACTGGGTAGATTGACCATGGTAGAGGGTCGCTACAGCACAACATCTAGAAGACCACATACTCCATAACCCTGCCTTCTGGTGGTGAGTACACAACCTTCCTGGATCAGAACTCCTGCTGTTGCCCATCAGCAAGGGTGGGAGTCAGAGATTGTCACTGTCATTGGCATTCAACAATGTCTAAGGACTCTAGGCTGGCAATCGTGGTCCTAAGAGAAAGTTTTATAGGCAGAAACACCCACAACACTCACTAATATGTTGTGCCATCCTATCCTGTCCCCATCCTATCTCAGTCTGGGCTATATATAGGGACCACATAGGAACCAGTCTACATATTATCCACAACAATTCAAATGGAACTCAATATCTTTCTTGGGACCAATCAAAATGTCACAAAAATGTGAAAGCATTCAAATTCTCCAAAGGTCTTCATCAGGCTAAATGACAGAATAATTAATACGCTGCAGATTTTTGGACTGTTTCTTCCCCTGTCCCCGAAATTTTGGATCCTTTCACTGGACCATGAGTTGCTGAGACCTTGGAAATACATACACACAATTTTATGACATCTTTATGGGTCATAATGAAAGTAGTAGCTGATCCATTTTGGGTTCATCTTTATTTCACTCATGGACCACATGTTGTTGTTGTTGTTGTTGTTGTGAGCAGTGACTTCACATTATTTCTCATATTAAGGCAACATATTCTATTTCTCCAACATAACTTTTCTCACATGAAGAGACAACATTTCCAATGGAGAGGGCAGATAAACCTTAAGTATATTGTGAGGTTTACCATTTGAAGAGTCACTTCTCTAAAAGTTAAAATAATACTTCTGCCTTATTATATACTTCAAAGGGATGTTCTGCTGGTTCCCAAAGAGGCTCAAGTTAATTTTTTTTTCACTGCTGTTAAGTATTACGTCCTGTAGAAGGCTTACAGACAAGCAGGTGGCTGTGGCTAGTACAGGACTATACAGTCAGCACATTGTTCGAGATGGAGCTCCCTGAAGTCATAAAAGAAGTCTAATTGTCCTAGTACAGAGGTTGCCTCACTTCACATTTTACAGATTACCTCATGTACCTCTCTGTAAGTAGCAACACATTTCAGTGTGAACCCCACCAAGGGCTTCCATGGGTTTGGTCATCACTCACTTCCAGAATGTTCTGGAGCAGAAACCACAGGATCAAACCAGCTTGACAGGAAGGCAAAACCCTTCCAGAGGCTTCCTCTAAAACAGTTACTTGCCAACCTTGGGTCCCCAGATGTTCTTGGACTAAAGCCCCTTGAACCTTTGCCGCTAACTGAGCTGGCCAGGGTTTCTGGGAGTTGTAGTCCAAGAATACCTGGTTTACCTAAGACTGGGAACTACTGCTCTAAAAGGAAAGGAGGAGTTTGCCCATTAGCTGATGCATTCCCTTTCACCTGCCGAGTTTCTTGGGGGAGGCAGTAACATCAGAATTTGGTGGGGAAAATATAGGCAGTTTCCACCTTTTGCGGCGCTGGGAATAATAAATCATTGGTACAGTAATTGAATATGTCAATAAATTCCCCTACTGTTCTCTTATCTCACTGAGGAGGTCCTCAGACATCCCACAAACTCAAATCAAATTCCTCCTGCTTCTGTTCTCAACACCCTCTAGTTTCAATTCATAAGTTCTCCGTTCTCAGAGCCCCTATGGCACTTTCATTTCCTGACACCATTTCTTTCACTTCCAAGATCATATTTTCCACCAACTCCATTCATGATACTAAACCAATTAGTTTTTCATTCAGCTGTTTCTCCAACAGGTCTTCCATCCCTTGTATAATTTCTTTTCTTGATATATGGAGTTGTGCGTTAAGACTCACCAGGTCACCTATTTGATCTTCAGCCATTGAAGGCTGCATGCTGGCTGCCATCTTATTTCCACTCCTTCTACAAACCTCTGCAATAATTTTTCAGTTGGATAGTGAAAATCTGTGGGTTTGAATTGCCACAACCCACTCTATGACTTCTGATGCTTCTAAAAGTTAGATTCCTGTACCTACCAGTGAAGCATTGTAGACAGGGAAGATTAATTACTTTAAAGGTCTGGGAGCTCTGGAGGCCAGCGTCCTCTCACTACTGTGCAAGTTCAGATCTAAAAATAAACTCATCCTGCAGCTTACATGGAGACAGGTGAACAGAATGGCAGTTAAGGTCTAAACCATTTAGCTGTGTAAATGTGGTATCAAACCCCTGTGGTTGTTGAATATACTGCACTACGCCAGACTATAGGAAGAGAGCGTCATTTATGAATGTATCAGAGTGGGAAGGGGCCACTGTAACCCAAAAGAGGGTGAGGTGTTCTGCTTGCTCAGACCACAAGCCACCCCCGAGGGAGGGGAAGCATACTGAGGTGCTCTATAATGTGCTAGGATTTTTTTTAAGCTGAATAATTTTTAAATGAAGATGGAAAGCATTAAATATGGCATCCCTCCCCCAGTTGTAGTCTGAAGTGGCACAGTGAGCACTGCCATCACATGACTTTTTGCTCCTTATTCTTCTCTGTGTTTAGACCCAATGTGAGAAATACTAGTACTGTATTGAAATTTATCCTCCGCTTAGCTATGGGATGATATAAAGTTGTTCAGACAAAGCAGAAAATTTAAATTACTTCCCCCTACACCAGCTTTCTTTGACTGCATGTCCTACAGCATTCTAGTGGGCACTAAAAAGGTTGGAATCTCTCTGTCGCATGCGCTGTGGTGGCAATAATGGTCCTAAAATGGGTTTAATTCATTTTAAAGCCTTTTCCCCATCAGGAGCAGAAGTCGATCATCTTTAAAAATAATGAAAAGTAATTTACTGCACTTTTGGTAAGGGAAAGGTAAAGATAGAGGTTCCCCTTCACATTTTTTAGTCCAGTCGTGTCCGACTCTAGGGGGTGGTGCTCATCCCATTTTCAAGCTGTAGAGCCAGCGCTTGTCTGAAGATAGTTTCCGTGGTCATGTGGCCAGTGTGACTAGGGAACACCGTTTTACCTTCCGACCAAGGTGGTACCTATTTATCTACTCACGTTTGCATGCTTTCAAACTGGGACAAACTTGGTGAGGAGCTGGGACAAAGCGACAGGAGCTCACTCCATTGCATGGATTCAATCTTACGACTGCTGGTCTTCTGACCCTGCAGCACAGGCTTCTGCGGTTTAGCCCACAGCGCCACCACGCCCCTTGCCGCCACCACGTCCCTTGGTACTTCCTTTTAATTTGCATCTTCCCCTTCCTTTAAAGTCCAGCAACATTTTTGTTAATTAACTCTTGGTTTGTACTCCTTGTTCCATACAGAGAAGCTGAAATGATGAATAGCTTTCATGGGCTGGTGAGATCAGAGTAGATTATTTCTCAGAATTTGCACTACAGCAAAATATAAATTCAAGAGCAGGTATAAGAACAATGTACATATATATGCCATCTTAAAACTGGGTTCTGAGGAGGATAGTCTGATACTGAATTCAGTAAGGCCAGAGGTTTATTTGTGGCTGCAGTATAAGAATTATATGCTTAGTTTTAAATGCTTAATGTCACTTCTGTGGTAAGTAGATTACTGAATGAACGCTGGGCATTGATTTGCTGCCTTCCTTCAGCTTTCCTTAGGGTACCTATCTAGACAATTGATATGCTGAAACTTCTCTGGCCATACGGATGAGCAAGACTGTAGCATCTTAAGGAGGATAGAGATGTGCATGCATTTAGAGGAGGATAGAGATGTGCATGCATTTAATGATGATGATCATGATCATGATGATGTGCCATCAAGTTGATTCTGACTTATGACATTTACTGTCTCGTATTCAGGGGAGATCAAAACACAGTAGAACTGATTGTCTAATTTAAAGTCCTGCCCTTTAGGCAGTTTTTACACACACACACACACACACCCAAACACAGTAGAACTGATTGGCTAATTTAAAGTCCTCCCTTTAGGCAGTTTTTACAGAGAGAGAGAGAGAGAGAGAGAGAGAGAGAGGAGGGAGACCGAGCGAGTGAACGAGAATCCCTTCAGTCAGAGCCTTTTCTTTTTTTGCACTGAACTGAACGGGATATATTTTAGCTTCTTTAGGACTGCACTGTCTGTTTGCAAAGATGAAATGGATGTACGACATGGTGACAAGTGGCAAGTATTTCTGGATGATAATTTTTTATTAAGCCTGCAATGTAGGATTTTCCTTTGGGGTGTAGGCGTTTATGTTTTCCAGTCCCAACACGTCCATGTTCCTCTCTCCTTCATCCGCCTTTCCTCTTACCAGGAAAGAGAAATCCTTCAGCAGAAAAAAGTGCTTCATGGTTGGTAGATCTAGGAGATCCACTTGGGAGGACAACAACAACAACAACAACAACTTAGGCCACTCTGCTTCCAAGAAGTACATGCAAATTAATTTGGTTGTTTTGTAAGACCAGTCCATAGAACATTTAGTGTTTATACAATTCCTTTGAGTTTTAATACCTGGTGTTACCTTGGTCTGTATTTATGAACATGTTCAGAAAGCTAAGAAGAAAACACTTTTGCCACTGATGTTTCTGTGACAACTAAAGGTGACAGTGTTGAGGCCTTAAACGCACATGCAGACAGGGGTACTTACGCAGCTGCACCTGTAGCCCTCCACATGCCAGTCACCACTGGAAAACAGTGGCTGTAGTCAGAGGGTCACACTAGACAATGTATCCACCATTTTTATTGCCGATATGCTCTACCCAACTGGGGAAAGATGCCTTTCAAAACATGTAATTGATCTGCACTTACAAATCTTGCATTTAGCGTGTTTTGTTTTGTGACTGGACATCACTGGAAAGTCAACATGGACTTAATTACAAGTCAGACTCCTGAGAGATGCCCTTCTCAGGAAATCCTGTTATAGTAGAGGAAATGCGTTCATTGCCTGCATTCCCCTTAATGTCTAGTTTGACCAGGAGACAAATTGTGCCAGATGCTATTTCCTCCTTGCAGCTGCCTTTGAGAGACGAGGTGGATTTCTTTCATGAAAGAACTGGCGAATGTCTGGCCCTTGATAGCTGTGCTGTGTGTTCTTTTGTCTCTGTGATTTATTTCTTATTTATTTTGAAAAACTTTTAATTCTAGGAAGAAAGAAAGGTGCCTCCTCCTGTACCAAAGAAGCCCCCAAAAGGAAAATTCCCTATTACGCGAGAGAAGTCTCTAGACCTCCCTGACAGACAACGTCAAGAAGCTCGAAGGCGGCTAATGGCTGCGAAGAGGGCAGCCTCGTTTCGGCAGAATTCAGCCACAGAGCGTGCAGACAGCATAGAGATCTATATCCCGGAGGCTCAAACAAGGCTTTAAAGACCAGTATTGCTGCATAATTTCTTTGTCTTTTTTTTTAAAACAAACCAACAAAGCAACAGCAAAATGCTTGTACAGTTTGTTTCCTCTCTGCTATTTTCTTTCCTCACACTTCCTCCCACTGAACAGCCCTGGGTGTTGTGTCCTTTGTGCCATATGCACAGTGGAATGCTTTCAGATTTCCTCAGAATTTGCTGAGCCCACCGCAAGAACGACTGTTCGGCTCTTTTTTGTATTTATTACCAGACTCAACAATCATCTCGATTGGATAGGGCTTGTCAAGGGGACCTGACTTATCCAATGTGTTCTCAGAGGACAACAAGAAACACCTCTTGAGATGGAACCCAGCTTACTTTTTTGGTTATTTATATTTTTATAAATGATGTGATATCTAGGGTAAGAATTAACAAACTTTCCAATGGGTGCATCTCACCGTTCACCAGAGGCATTAGCTAATCCAAGTAGAAGGTGCTACAAATGTAAAGTGCAAGAAAGAAAGACCCCCTTTTCTCTCCCCTCCCCCCTAACCCTAGTTTCCTTGCCTTGTACCTAGCTAAAGTTTCTGCCCATGTGCTCTCTGCCATATTACTCTACTCATCTTTGTTACTACACAATAACACAAAGCCTATTATCTCATGTTGAGTTGAGTTTTTGGAGATGAACAGGGATATCCAGCCATTAAACTCCAGAATTCATCAGGAACAAACAAGATCATGGAAATCTTTTCATTTTGGGAAAGTCCAGCCTGGAAAGGAAAGCCTGCTCACACAAGTATCCAGAAGTCTGAAGGAAAAAATGCAAAAGGACTTGAGTAAAAAGAGAAAAGGAAAGCCTTAAGAATTTAGACCTTCTGTAGCAAGATGTGAAAAGTTCTATCTACTCCTTTGGAACACTCATTACCTTTTAAACAGTTCTTTTACATTCTCGTTATTTTGTTTAAAAACACATTTTTGTTTAAATTTTAAAAGCGATGTTACATGTAATATTTGAAGTTTCAAAATGCTATATCAATTGAGTTTCCAGGGTATCCTTTAAAACAAAAATGAACAAAAAAAACCTTGCTTGTTTAAAATTCCAGTTGTGACATTGTAACCAGTTTCAGAAATATGAATGTGAGTGGTAAGTATATCTCAGTTTAAATGGTAATCTTAAGGTTAAAAGGTGAACTGTGGTTTACATATGTATTTTTTTTCTGGATTTTTTTTTCCTATGCAGTATTTGCTTAAAAAGATAAAGACAAGTCTCATCATAGATTCAGATTTGAAAGAGCACGATTTCAGGAGGTATGTGACTTCTAACTGTAGAAGGCAAGGAAAAGGAATGTGTTTCCAAGCACTTGATTAACACTGATGCAAAAGCTAGAAACAGTATGCTCGGGAATGAAATAAATGCAAATAGTATTATTTTACTGTTATCTACCTTATCAAAGGTTACAGTCCTAGTTGTTGTCGCTTTTAAGTTTTCAGGTGAAGACACAAGAAAAGATATCTTACTAATACTGAAATCAGGATTCTGAGAAATACAAAATATCAAAACTGAAATCCATAAGGCAGGTTTCTTTTATCACTCTTAATTGAACAATATGTATTTAGCCATAGGCAGAACAGCTACTTTAAATTTTACTATAGCACTTTGGTTGTTCACCTAGATGAGCACTTTAAATATGTACTTTGCAAGCCCTTCTTCCTGTCACCTGACAGGAAATGCTAGAAGTGATAGGAGGATAAGCAGATCTGATAGTCGGGTTTTCTCATTCTCCCTCCCCTTTTCCTCCGGTGTATTTTGTTAAGCATGCATTCTATTTTAAGGCAAAGCTGATATAAGCATGTTTAGCTTCAAGATATGAATCTTTAGAGTTGAATGTTTAAAGAAAGGAGGGAACACTGTAAATTGAGCCTGATCTCTTATTGTAGATTTTACCAAATAGCCTTAAACTGCATTTGGAAGCAAAAAAACAAACAAACAAACAAAACTAACCCAGAGGAATGTATACCATTAAAAATGCAAAAAAAGAAAGAAGAAAGAAAGAAAGAAAGAAAGAAAGAAAGAAAGAAAGAAAGAAAGAAAGAAAGAAAGAAAGAAAGAAAGAAAGAAAGAAAGAAAGAACAAAAAGATCAGTGATGATAAACTGTTGTTCTGCATTGATTAGGATGGTCCGTTCCCCCAGAGTGTTCAAGGAACTCCTTGTACCTGGAAAGAATAGATTCCTGGATATAATGTTGCTAATTGTTTTACATGCAAGAATATTTCCAGGTATAAGCATCTTTGAAGAGGAGATTTTCTTTCAAATGGAGCTGCTAATTAGAACTAATTCCATGAAAGTAAAGGTATAGAGTATGTATTGTCAAGAGACAGCAGATTTGAAATGTACCTTTCTCTCACCTTGCCTATCCCCACCACATCCCTTTTATGGCTGCTGCTATGTTTTGATCTCTCTTTTATTTTGACGGGTATTGCCAAATCATACGTGCTTTTCTCTTTTATGTAATCTTCTGTAGATCAGGGACGGGGAGTTGTAAGGTAATGTGCATTTGGTTCCCAACATGTACTATGGCATAGTTACACAATGTAATAGCTATGCTCTGACACACAATTCTTTCACATTCGCAAAGCGGGAAGTGCAGTGCATCAAACATTATTGACACAGAAATCCTACTGAAACTTAAACCATTTTTGCTGGAGCTGTGATCACTGCTTCTGTGTATCGTGTTCTGTGCCTCTCTTTTGCTACATCTATTAACAAAATCAGTCTAGTGTTTTTTTCTGCCAGAACGTAAAAGCACTGACTAAGGCGCACAACTCCAATGAACAAAAACAAAACATACACACATACAAAATAACTCTCAGTGCAAGACCACATGCAATTAAGGTAATGTGTAATTTGACTCCATCTCTGGCGTTGGAGACTTCAGGCACTATGCCAATGAATTTCAGCAGCATGGGTTTCTGAGAGTCGGGTTTGACACGTGGAGGAGCACATGTGGATTATGGGCCATGTGTTTCCCCTCTGATTTAAGAGAAATTGTTTAAAGGAGAACTAACTTCCAGTGCAGATAAAACCACTTATTTGAAACAGTATGTAATTACTCCCCCCCACCCTTTAAAAAGGTATATAATATGTTGCCATTAGTAGGGAAGGCAAAACTCAGAAAAGATCTATTAGACCATTGTGGCTTAAGTGAACACTCAATTGCATGTTGTTCATGCAGTCCAGTAAAATGCTGAATAGAGGCCTCTCCCTCAATCGATCCCCCTCTTTGTTCCACTGCTGTTCCAAAGAAAAATATTAAAATTGTAAACCAGATGCCTTCTGCAAACTCTAAGAAAGTGTGGCCTGTTCACAGTTCAAGTTTTTAAGTGCAATATTTTCCATTTCTTTTGTACAGGAAAGATTAAAACAATAATGGGAGGTAACAAAGCAATGTTCTCATTCATTTGGATGGCACATACAATTAATGTTTGTAATATTTGTGCTGTAAGCCCATTAGCCTCAGCCCAAAATAAATGTTAAAGGTTATGTTGAGAGTGTTCCTTGATATACTTTAGATGTTAAAGTTTTTTTAAAAAAACGAATTATTTATTGCAAAATTGCTGAAAATCTAAAGTTTTCAGTTAAACACTATACAGTGGGGTCTTGACTTAAGAACGGCTCGAGTTAAGAACATTTTGACTTAAGAACCGCTCTCATAGGAAAATATTGACTTGACTTAAGTACTTAGATTTGAGTTAAGAACTGAAAAAAAACCACGTGGGAGGCAGGGAAAGTGAAAAATTTGAACTTCCAGTTAACTGTTGGCCAGTGAAAAGGGTGCCTGTCTGCTTCCTCACTCCTCCCAGCGTTTAGAGAGTGGATTGGGAGACAGTCTTCGGACTGCCTGATACTGCCTGGACTGTATTTTCCCTGCCTTCCATGAACCTTTCTTGACCTAAGAAAAAAAGAAACAAAATATCCCCCTCTAGTGGTCGAAGGCAGAATAGCAGCTTCCCATTAGTTTCTATGGACGGAAAAGAGCAGATACGGATCAAATGGTTTTCAATGCATTCCTATGGGAAATGCAGATTTGACTTGAGAACTTTTTGACTTGAGAACCGCCTTCCAATACAGATTAAGTTCTCAAGTCAAGACCCCACTGTATTCCTTCTTCAGTTACCATTTCTGGGACTGAAATCTGCCCGATAATAATTGAATCTTTTATTTACCTGTTCAGAAGCAAGTCCCTATGAGTTGAATGGGTCTTATTTCCAGGTTAAATTGGCTTACAATTGCAGTGTTATTATTTCATAATCTGCAAAAGCCAAGAGTAATAGATTTCTCCCGTCTAACAGCACAATTGTATGCACTGTGCTCAGTGGGTCTTAGTCTCATGTAAGACAGCATAGGTTTGTTGCCCAGCCTAAGCATACATTTTGAGTATTGAGTTTGACTGACCTCAGTAAATAAACTGTAATCTGTGGAAGAATTCCTGTGAATTATCCCAATTAACAAAAATAGGACTGACTTTTTAATACTCATACTGAAGATTGGACTACATGGAGGAAAAAAACTATCTAAAATAAGCTATGTTTTGTATCATTTGCATTCCATTCAATGTCGATCATATGCAATTATATTTATTTTATTTATTGTTTGTTTCACATCCGTCGTCTTCATTATCAGTGGCTTATGTTTTACATCCGTCGTCTTCATTATCAGTGGCTTACAGTAACGTATGTTGTGATCTGTGTGTGCATGCATATTGTTTGCTGCTTGATCAGTGAGAATGCCCTTGTACAAATATTCAAGGATGAAATGTCCCTGAGTATAAAACAAAAACAGTGGCCAGAATCTTATCGGGAATCAGTGAAATCATGTAAGTTGCTGTGGCGAATGGCAGGTCATGAATGAGATACTGGTTGCGTACCAGGTTGCGGTTCTAGCCATCCAGTTCCTAACATCACTTTAGTGCAACAGAAACAAAGCAATTCATCATAATATATGAAATTCAAAACCACCAGAGAGCCAATTAATACAATAATGTGACTTTTCTATAGAAGAGTCACTGGAAGCGCTGATGGCACAAGATCCAAACAAGGTTAATTTTGTTTGATCCAGATCTCTGTATACATAGATCAGAGCCTTGGGGACATTATGCTTTGACTACAAGTCCTAGAATATCCCAACCAGCAAGGATTCTGGGTTCTGTAGTCCAGAATGTAAAACTTCCACACACTGGTATGAATGCATACTTTTAAAATGACTAATACTGAAAGGAATCCAGGGTCCTAAATATTTTCTTTTTGAGTTCCTGCCTTACACCACAGTGCCACATCTAATTTTGCTCAATTATTTCCTTGACCCTTATTTAAATACTTATACTCTACCCTATCCCCAAGTATATTAGGGTGGGGCACAAGCAACAAAATAATTCTAGACAATTTAAAACAATTGAAAGCAATGGAAAACCTGTTTAAAGTAACAGAGCATTTTCTTCATCCCTTTGTGGACTGGTCAATGGTGTCTGAAGCCTCATAAATATGGATCTTACCAGGGTTTCTGCCCATACCTATTTCTAAAACTCCACAGTATCTTTTAAAAGAACAGTTCCAACATATTTCAAAAAGGTTGAAGCAGTGCTTTAAAAATGCTCTTCTAAAAAAATAATCTAAAGTAGATTAGCACCATCATGGAAATCTTGTTCCTTTTTAGCCAAGGCTCACCTTATTGCTAATCTACTTTGGAAATGAATTGTCCTTCACAGTAGCTGTTTCGAAACAGTGATTAAATCCTTTAAATAGGAATATTCTATGATGGATGTTTGGTTTTGTTCATTAGCTTGTCAGTCAGTTAACACATTGCATCAAGATCCAAGAAACTGCTTTGACAAGAAGTTCTTGCCATCCAACCTCTGTCCCGGGACAAACAAAAAAACAAGAACAAATAAAAAGCCCCACCTGAGAATTGCACAGCTGGAAGGGACCCTATAGATCATCAAGTACAGCCCCTGTTAAGGAGGCACCGTGGGGGGGATCAAACTCTTTGGCTCCACAACCAGAGACATGAACCACAGAGTTCTCCAGCAGTTATACAGGGCATAGTTTTTAAAACACCAAAAAGTCATTTCTGGAATTTGTCACTCTTTGTCCCTGCTTTTATTTATTTAAACCTTGTATCATCTGGACAGTGGGAAAAATATCAATATAATCAGTGCTCATTCAGGTACATATGGAGGCATAATTCCCCATTTAAACGAGCCCTAAAGAAATTTAAAACAACTAATGCAGAAATCCATTCTCCCAGTCAAGCCATGATCGCTAAGCTCCAAATGCTTTGGTAAAAAGCCAGTGTTCGACACGGTGTCAAAATGAGACCAATATCAGCACCAGCCTAGACTCCAAAAGAAGGATATTGACCCAGCTGGGCTGGTGGAAGAACTAACAGAAATCGTAGGATCCATTGCAGAAGACTTATCCTCACTCTCAAGAGGAGTCCTCGCTCCTGTTCAGGTCCCCATCCCGAACAATCCAAGAGCACAGGTTGAAGAAATGAGGAGGCGTTTAAGATTTGGAAAGAAAATAACACGCATATCCCTGCTGATCAGGCAAACTCAGACTCCATTGGGAATCCTGGAAAAGGGAAATTACATTTCTCAGAGGTGCTGAAGTCTAGTGCACTGGTTCTTAACCTTGGGTTACTCAGGAGTTTTGGACTGCAACTCCCAGAAGCCTTCACCACCAGCTGTCCTGACTGGGGTTTCTGGGAGTTGCAGTTCAAAAGCAGATTGCATTTCTCAGAGGTGCTGAAGTCTAGTGTAACTATCGGCAGGAAAATACCATGTGATCGTAATTCTTGATTTCTGGTATCTCTCAGGATTATTTCTTCCATAGCTGCTAGAAGCTGTGTGCCAAAGGGAAGCCTCAACCTTTGGAACCTCCTAAAATTATAACACAAAAAAACGGTGTGAAGGGGTTGATCACATGGAATAGATGTATCTAATGTTCAGTACTT